AATTTAAACGTTTTTTTCAACAGTTTATCAACAGTTTGGAAATCCCCAGTTCTATTTCAATTTAATGTTTGCTTTAATTAACAGGTATTATTTTTATTAATGCACATAATTAGTTTCATATCCTTTATCTAAATTTTGTTCTATTACAGTTTACACAACGCTTCTTATTGGAAAGATAACCTATAGAACACAAGATTTCTTCCTGGTACAATAAAAGGAAGTTAATATATGGAGCATACTCGCAAAATTTTCGGCCTTTTACGTCAATCTCCGATATGGGCAATTCATTTATGATTGACTGATTATCATTATTAATCGTTGAGCGTTCTGTTTGCTAGTTACGTAGTTTTATCAACAGTTGAACTCCCCCAAGTTTCTATTTTCAATTCATGTTCAAGTTTTCAAGTTGCTTTAAGTAACAGGTATTTATTTTGATTTATTGTTTCAAGTTGCTTAAGAAACAGGTATTTATTTTGATTAATTGTTTTTCATGTATTTAAATCTTATTTTATTCTTAATTAATAAGCGATAAGTATTCTATGTTTAAACGAATGAGTAATAGAAAAGTATTAATTAGAAATAAATAAACGATTTAAACAGCTCAAAAGGAGTGATGTAAAATACAAATAAATTGTTAAACATTTAAATTTTTAGTTTTCCAAATGAAATAAGTCGTAAATGCGCCGTTCTTTAGCAAATCATTTCGTAAATTTGGTAAATCACAATTTTTTTAATTTGCCTAATATATCTTTTCTTTTAACCTACTTAATCTTTGATCTCGTTCATGCAAAATAGACTTACAATAGGCATATTCGTTTAACAAAGGACAAATAAAAAAAGTAAATTAATTTCCTTGTTTTAAATAAAATGAATAAAAGAAGGAATGTACTTGATGGTTAATTTAAATTAGTTGAGTTCATGTGGTATGGCATTCATTATTTTAGACTTTGAACTAGAGACTACAATGTGTATCTTGTGATTTCTCTCATCACTGAATCTTTGTAATACATTGACAGATAATTCTCAAACAGGTAATAATTTTTAAGAAAAAAAAAAAAACATTTCCCAAGTGTTAAAATTTTCAAGTTTCCTTTTTGAATTATTTTTTTAAGTAAATTTAAGGTAAGAAGAAATTTTAGAACATAACCATGATCGTTCTTCTCTATAAAAATGGCATTTACCGGTTCATGTTTTACTTTGATGTTGAAGAATTATTTCAATTGTTTAACTGTCTTTAAAAGTTTCATCTGTTAACACGCATAAATTATACAAGATAATATGCTTTGTTTCACTTTATCTTACAAAGGATCTGAATCATGAATTTTTTGTTATAAATGATAAAAATTATTAAGATGCATGACTTTATTTTTCATCACCTGCTAAAAATATTTTATTATGATTAAGGTTTTCGGATGTCATACTTCAATGCAATTTAAATGCTATTTACTAGTTGACGAGCGTTCGTTATAATGTAAAACAACAATAATCACTTCATTTAAGCAAAGAGATAAAATTTCATCTCCAGAAAAAAATCTGATTTGATATTTACAAAATCAATTGTAGACATGCATTTTCTTTAGTTTTTGTCTTTATGATGAAAATTTAATTTACAGAATGTCAGAAATTCCGGAAATTCCGGATTACACACAAAATGTATCACTCAGACTGTCTAAAGTACTTGATGAGATAGGGGTGAATGAAAGAATGATCATAAAAATAAGGCGACTTGAGCTAATGAATGAAAACATACGTACGATAGGACTCGGATTAATGCTTGAAGATGTATATGTGTATTCCTTAGGTAGTAGAGTAGAAGGTACTACAACACTTGGACTTAGGTCCGACTGGGATATTCTTTTAAATCTTCCCTGGTACAGAGTGATTCAAGACTGGAGTGAATGGGAACTTGGTAAACAAAACCTATTAATGATACAGGATGATACTGTATCACCAGGATATTGCTTATTACAGATACTGAGCAATGATTATCCACTTCCAGAAGAAAATGTGTATGATCAGTGCTGGTATAGAGATAGAATAGGAAGAGTACTGTTAAAGAATACAATATTAAATACCAGTAATAATGCTGACCTTATTAGACATGGTCCAGCACAATCAATTGATGAAAGACCTGGTGTCGGTAGTATTGACTTTGTCCGTGCAATTACTTGTCAACAGTGGCCATTGCAAGCTAGACAATGGATTGTTCAGCAAGGTGAAGGTCAGTGGCCTTCATATGATATGAAACAATATTGTAAAGATATGGAGTGTTTAGTTGTAGGAGTTGGAGGCAAAGACAGTGAAAATGAAGAACTTGAATGGAGAATATCCACTTCCCTTGCGGAGCGACATTTAATGTTTAATCTGAATATAACACAAATCAGATGCTATGTCCTAATGAAAATGATTTTAAAATCATTTATAAATACACAATGCCCTGATAGCATTTCAAGTTATATGTGTAAAACGGTCATGTTTCATTGTATTTCAAGTACAGACAACAATGCTTGGAACGAAAACACCTTGCTCATCTGTCTGAATTATTGTCTGACTATTCTTTACAATTGTGTTTTAAATGATAACTGTCCACATTTTATCATCCCGGAGAACAATTTAATGGCTAGACGTTTTACACCAGTGACAAAACAAGTCATACTAGATACACTCTCTTACATTATAAGTAGTAAAGGAGGTGCATTACTTGAAATAGAATGTGATCAACTTGGTTTCAGAATTCAAAACACTTTTTTGAGGTTAGTAGAGATTGTTCCTGAAGATATGTCTTATGAGATTTCAGGCACTCTCGTCAAAACTATTGGTCAGACCATCAGTGACATGCATATTTTTGTCGTCAAGGACACGAATGAAATCAATCACATAAGAGTTCTATTGCAGACATTATATGAATACCTTGTGAAATTAACTCATTATATGAATCAAGGGCAAAATAAATTAGCATGTAGTGCATTTGCTAAATGTCTTAGCATGCATTTAGGTTCAGCACTAGCTTCAATTAACATACATAGTCAAGTTGGTTTATGCCGAGAATCTACTGCTTTGATGTCATTATGTCTAAACGTTGACCTAATATCGAGTAAAGTGAAACTAGCATCAATTTTCTATTGTACAGGAGAAATTGAGAGGGCTGAACTTATTTTGAAAAATATTGAAGAAAGTTATGACCACAATGTAGTTGAACCAATATGCGGATGCTACGATTTTAAACTTAAAAGTTATAAAAGGGCATTTGATATATTATGTTATGAAGCAGATGATGAATATACATTGTTACAAAATAAAACATCACCCTGTGTCAGATTTCTAAGATGCGAAATAAATTGTTGTCCACAGGAACTCCAACATGAAATGTTCAGATCATCACAACAAGACTTCCCTTACAGAAGTGAAGATGATAAATGGATGGATATGGCTGTGGTAGATTCTCTACCTTATTTATACTTTCTACAGTATAAGACATATTCCCATCTCAGAAGACATCGGGATAAACAGGCAGCAATATCCAACCTTGCTAAATGCATTATAGAGGAGCCAGGTTTCGGACATAAAGAAACAGCACTAAACCTTCTAGGTCAGTGTATGGAGCAAGAAAATAGAACTGATGCTGCTTTAGAGTATTATCTGTCCGCTCTGAAAATACGAGACAGAAATAACGCTGCAAAGATTCATATCTGTAGACTAATTAGCTCAGTGTTGGGTCCAGGCTTGTATTAAAATAAAAGTGGAACAAAATATACATTTCATAATTTCGATGTTGTGTTCAGGCTTCCATTGAAATAATATGGAATAAATATTTACTCTTCGTGACTTCGAACTGAAAATAGAAATATATGTGATCCCTTTATAGAAAAATCTAGCTTGTCATACAATTTGAAAGTGGAACAGCAACATATATGTTACAGGTTTTTTATCTTTGATAAAAATATGTGACTTCTAGACGGTGTGTATGGTTATTTGTATAATTAGATTGTCAGACTTGTAAGGAGACTTAAAATTTTGAAAGCATAATGTAAAATTTTCTTTGACATCAATTCAACATATTAGAAATTACTAGCTCATTGTAATACGAGTATGTTAAGTAATTTCTTATAGTTGTATGAAAGGTATTATGTATCAAATACTTTCAATGACCGATCTTAAAATATTAAGCAGAACGCAACTGTTTGATTGTCTAAGTTTTATCGAATATGTCAACGTGCCAAGCAAAATCGTATGTTGAAATAAGTTAGTTTGTGATTATAGGTTTCAATAAGATCTTCTATTTTGGGAACAGATGTGTATGATCAAAGAAAGATTTCGTCATTTAATTGTTCAAATTTTTGTATAGATTCTATGTTCCGTTCAAATTTTCCATTTATTCAGGAGTTAGCCATTTATGAAAAATATTTCCCAATTGTACGATGATATAAATATAATGGGAAGTTAAATATTTCTGAATGTATAAAAAACATTGATCCAATTCTTTTGTCGCAATTTGTAATAAATAAACATTGTATATTTGTGCAAAGATATTGTGAAAAGACAGAAGAAATAAAATATGGAATTCATATCTTATTTTATATTTAAGTACAAAAGTCATGTCAATGTTTGTTATTTATAAATCATATGTTATGATAGTCTTAAGTAAACTGAAAAAAGTTATTCGTGTCTGAATTCAATAGTCTTATGTTTTAATTCTTCATAGGGACTTACCGAGTTACATAGTGAAGAATAAGCACAAGAATTTTCTATACTTATTTCGGCTACCAACGTCACTTTAAGAAGTCGAAGATGAGTCGAATTTCGATTAAAATCTTTTATCATGTTAGGCATCTCGCTGCCACCTTTCTAGGTTTGGTCTTGTTATGAATTTGCTTATACAGACTTCCTTTTACGGTAACACAAAGTACGTTGGACCAAGATACCCTGTTGGTTTTCGTAGGCATATTAACGGGTAATGGTATTACAATGGCTGTATTTTTCTTAATCCATTTAGGAACCGATTAAGCTTTACACAACTCAGTTCACTGAAAGAAGCTATTTTACACCATACTGATTATATATTGTTTATGAAATAAAACAATAAACATATCAATTAACGAGAACCAGATCCCCTTAAATTAAATCAAGAGCGCGTTTGAAAATATTGATTATCTACAAGATTGTTAAACAATGATTGCAAATAGAAATGTGATATTTTAGATATTCTCAAAGGCGGGTTTTAACATTTCGTATTCTACTTTTTACGGTGGTTTAAATAAAGATTATAATTCTATGTTGAGTGTGTATATTTTAGACTATTTCGTCAATATTATTTCATTATATCAATACATAATTGTAAATATAAAATTAAGCCAAACTTTTTAAATGTCTACCACAGTAGAAAGATATATGTATACTTGATATTTGTTAACAAGCTGAAGTCAGATAAAAGTTTTATAAAACTGTTTTGCAGGTAGTTCGTTGT